AACCGAGGTCCCGTGTACACATTAGGGTCCATGTGAAAGATTCCTTGGCAGTTGGAATTTCCCTCATAGCACAATGTATGGCGTATGCCTGTCTTCATTAGCCCAGTGTAGGAGCAGAACAGTAGGACGTTAAACCCCTTTTCATTTCATAATCGTCATGTTATTCATTAACCAGTAGCATCCTGGGAGTGTTGGATGGCCGATTGGTTTAACACATGTACTTTAGATCATAAGGTCTGTCATTGAGTCATGTGATGTGGTTTTGATTCCAAGCTTGTAGGTGACAGGAAGTAGGGTCACCTGTCCATCCTCATTTGTTTTCTGCAGGTTTGCTGCATTCCTCCCATTGCTACAGACCCACACTGGCAAGGGAATTATTGAAATAGTAATTGAACCATACGTTAGTCCTGAAAGGACCTACTTTGTGTCTAGTAGTTGCTGTAACACCTCTCCCTCTCTCTCTCTCTCTCTCTCTCTCTCTCTCTCCTATATTGTTATCCTACTGAACCACTTTAATCAGAGGATTAATTCGACTGCATTTCACTGATAGAATAAACTTGAAAACCCCCCCCCCCCCAACAAAACAGAAGTTTGTTTTGTGATTTATGTAGTTCCATAGGATGTGACATGACATTCAAACTTCCTTTATCACAGCTAGATTCATCATACCAGTAGCTATATAGTAGCATCGTCACTTTAATCAAAGGATTAATTCGACTAGAGTAGTCTGTAAATTATACAGATAGCTTTTGATGGTGTGTGTGTTTTTTCATGAAAAACGGATGCCATGTCTAAAACTGTGATTATTGACATGATTGCCGATGATATGGACGTTGTCCGTCCGATATTCAGATATTGTATCAGGATCTTGTATTCTCTCGTGTCTGAGCCAAGATAAGCTCCGAGTGATTTAAACAAGAGTTGTATTACGTTGAGATTTTGATTGTGCTGTCATGAGTAGAATGAGAGGATTTATCATGCAGACATGAAGATTGATCAATTTTAGGATTATCCGTGGTTACACATCTTTTTCTGAATTAAAGAACAACGGTGAGAAGTTTTATCAGTATAAGGTTAGAAGGCGCTGGTTATAAAGAGGCACCACAGCTCTCAACAAGAAAATAAATGTTATTTCTATTCTATATCAGAGAGAGAGAGAGAGCTCAGAGCGAGAGAGAGAGTTTAAGGTCCACTTGACACAAACTAGGTCATTTTGAGACTAACATGGTTTAATTTTATTTCATTAATTTGCTTGCGCGTTGGGGTCTTTAGCAGTGGGAGAAAACCGGAGGACCTGGAGAAAATCCATGAGGTTCGACAGGTGACCCGAAACCTTGTCAGTGTCACATACAGACAGGGAATCGAAACTTGATTCAATGACCTTATGAAGCAACGTGCATGCATTAACCATTCGGCCATCCATCCCTTGTTCTATATAAAAGAGACAGCGTGTTTCTTCACTACAGGAAACCAAACAGTTGAACATATTAATTTTAAAATAATTTCATAATATCATAACCAGGGTTTTCCTACAAGGAATTTGATAGTGCTATTTATCTTGATGTTAGAAAAATGGAAATATTCAATTTCAAACAAGTTAAAATGTCTAGGCTAAACACATTTTGGCATTTTGATCTAATAGGCCTACTTATGTAAACCCACTTATGGTTGCTTTATCCTGTGAAATCTGTAAAGTTGTAAAGAAGAGACCTTGATGTTAACAATTAGTGGTTATTGTAGTCTATATCAACAAGACTTTATAGGTTATGGTTAATTGTACTTGAGATCAATTAGTTAGTATTGTAGTCTGTATCAACAAGACTAATGATTAATTGTATTTTCAATGAGGGTAAATATTGTCGGTATATATTGTTATAATAATATGTAGTCATTGTGGAGCCACATTGGCTCATTTAACCTGCTACAAATGTTGGTCGAGAAAGTTCCTCATTAGGATTTCCCAGGCTGGCTTTCCCTTATGTCAGTGGTGCAGGATGGAAGGGCCTGGCAAAGCAATGCTCCTAGTTGTTCGGATGGTACAAAAAAAAGAAGGTCCAGTGTACATTTACATGTAAAAGAACCCTTGGCAGATAGAATTCGACAAAACACAGCAGTCTTAATTAGCTGGGTCTCTGCGTAAAACCCCTCTTCATTTCATTTCTACAGTCGGTGAAACGCCAATTATTTATTTGTTTGCAAAAAAAGCAGATCTGGGGCCTGTTTCACGAAATTTTAACTGAAGATAAAATCCAAATTTTAGTAGATACTTCAATTTTGATTGGCTAAGCACTAAAATTAATCTTATATTATCCAATCAAATTACTAAAATTTGAATTTTATCTTAGTTGAAATTTCGTGAAACAGTCCCCTGATTGTAAACTTTGAAGTAGCATAATCACATGTCCAACTGGCTAAATCTCATTATGTTTCACACAGATGTGGGAGCTGTGATGGCTCAGTGAGTTTGGCGCTGGTTCGCCAGTCTGGAGGTATTAAGGTCTGTTCCCGATATTGGCTGAAAAAGTTCCTCATGATTTTCTGGAGCGGTTTCCCCTTGTCAGTTGTGCAGGACTGAGGGCCTGACAAGGAAAACTGTCTAGTCGTTCGGATGGGACGGAAACCGAGGTCCCAGTTACACATTGGAGTGCACCTCAAGTAAACGTTGACAGTTGGAATTCGGCACAAAGCGTTGGCTGTAGTGCGTATGCCTATCTTCATTAGCCCAGTGGGTGCAGAAAAGAAGGATATATAAATACCATTTTATATCATTTGCCACAGATGTAAGAATTCTATAAGCCATGTAACATCTGTATCAAACGAATTAGATTCTATTTTATTATCTTTTTATTCTCTTTACTATTAAATGTCAAAACAATCTCTATAATTATTTATACTAATAAATGAATAACTCTAAATATGTGTTCATAAAAAATGGCACGTGTTCATTTATAGTTGATAAACTATACTGTGACAACAAACACTGTAATAATATCAAGCATGTGAATACCGGTAATATAGGAAGGAATTGTGGCCTAGTGGGTCTGGTAATTCAAGTCATGGGTTCTATCTGGGTGGGGGGGAGAGGATGGCCGAATGGTTTAACCTGTGCGTGTTGTATCATGAGTCAAGTGGGGTGCATGGTTTCAAATCCCCAAGTAGGATCGTCTGTCCAACCTAGTGGGTTTTCTTCAGCCCCTCCGGTTTCCTCCCACAGCTAAAGACCCCTATATGCAATCGAATTATTGACCCATATGTTAGTCCTGAATTGACCTAGTTTGTGTCATGTGTGCCGCTATATTTTCATGTGTTCCAATGTGTGCTGTTGGCAAAAAAAAGACTGAGAACCAATGCCATAGGGAATATACTAAGAGTAGGGATTAGTATATGATAGGGAATATATTATGAAGAGTAGGCATTAATGATATACCATAGGGAATATTGTAAAATAGGGATTAGTATATGATATATCCTAGGGAATATTAAGGTAGAGATGAGTTTTCCCTAGTGAATGTTGTGAGAGTAGGGATTAGTACAATTTATATGATATATATGCCATAGGAATTAGTGAATATTGTGAGATTGGGGATTAGTATGCGATATATATGATATACCATAGGAGTATGCGATATACTATAGGGAATATTGTTAGAGTAGGTATGATATACCATAGGGAATATATAAGTAAGAATAGGGATTAGTATGGAATATACTATAGGGAATATTGTTAGAGTAGGTATGATATATACCATAGGGAATATATAAGTAAGACTATGAACTATTACATGTATGTAATATACAACAGCCATCAGAATATTGTACAGGGCTGTGAAAAACCAGAATGCTATATAGTACAGTAGGTTATGAACTAAAATAGACCGATAAATCTGGACCACAGGTGAACAAATTATACCTGGCTATAATCTCAATCTGTTCCATTAAACCAAGGTTGTTTTAAACTAGAAGAGTTGTATTTACCTTGATCATCATGGATGAAGATGTAGCCAGTAAGCTTTATAAATAGCTGTTTATTTCTCCTAAATTTACTGCAACATTTTTTATTTGTTACCGTTAAAATTTTTTTGAAAAGAAAATATGCTAAAGATTTTTGCTGCTTTTGCAGTGTTTCCCTGCTTATTCATACCACTGTAACTTCTGTTATTTATTCTATAAAGTTCAGTCTTTGAAATATTTAACAGTGAATTTATGACTTAGTTTTATTCACGACATCTTCAGATCATTATTAAAACGATTAAGTCAATTTCCAACAAGGAGTTCACAAGAAATATCCCATTTAATAGGGGACTTCCTCCTCTTTGTATTCATCAACAATTGTACACATTTCTAAAGCTCACAACAGCTACATGTACCTGGATAATGTGCTCATGTGCGCTTTATAAAGATATATTATAGAGCGAGACAATATAACATTTACATAATAAAAAGAGATAAAAAAAAAACCCAGCATACTTGATAGAATATTATAAATAAAAATTGTTATTTGGATGGAATTAAAGGGTGGGGAGGGGGGAAGACGGCTGAATGGTTAGCACATGTGCTCTATATCATAAGGTCTGTCATTGAGTCAACTGGCATGGTTTCGATTCCACGGTTGTACGTGTAGAGTCGCCTGTCCAACCTTGTGGGTTTTCTCCGGATCCTCCAGTTTCCTCCCACAAAATACCCCTACGCGCAAGTGAATTATTGAAATAAAATTGAACCATATGTTCGTCCCGAATTGACCTAGTTGTTGTCATTAGAAATTAGATATTTAAGTGGTAACAGAATTTTAGATTGTAATAAATCATAGAAAGTCAAGTTAAAGAAGTTTTGTTATGTAAATGAAAATCCGATTGATTTGTATTAAAATTTATTTTGTGTAGAGAAGTTGAGTTGTTAGAACTGGGTAAATTTTATTTCTGATCCATTTGTTGCGTTGTTAAGAGCAGAGAAGTTTGAATAACATATTTGAAGTGTGATAATGATTTTGTTTATCCATTCAGATGTATACTGCACACCTATAGTTGTGACTAGGTGATCTAGCCCATCCCTCCTATAGTTCCATAGCCTGGGAAATATTGTAACTATTGTGTTCATCAGGTCCATTGTGAGAGCACATGTTTATGTGACGACTATTAAAGTGACAATATTAACAGAAACTAGACGAATAAATCTCAATGGAATGATTAATAAACTATGACAGCGTAGTAAAATGTACAATATTGGATGATTTTATGGGAAGACTATTGAAGTGACAATATGATGTAGAAAGTTGAATGTATAAAAAATTGATAAACTACAGCGTTTAATTAGGATGTTTTAAGATTTGTTGAACTGCATTATTATTATAAATGTATGATCAGCAGACCATGGTGTCGTTTATTTTACGCAGTTTTTAACTAAACTTCACTAGATATGAAAGGAAAGAAACTTACGATTAATTATCACATAATTTAACAGGTTTTGTGTCTGTGATAAGGAAAAATAGACAGTACAGTTTAATTGGGATAAGTTTATACATGTTATTATATGAATAGCCGACCATGGTTTCGTTATTTACCCGGTTTCTAGTTAACTTCACCAGCCGTGAAAGGAAGGAAATTTTTTGTTAATTATCAACTTTACTTTGGAGGAGGAAAGAAACTTATAGGTAATTATTCTGATTGCCTTACTATACTTTGTCCCGGTGATAAGGAAAATGAAATTTTGTGATTTTTTAAATGGATCTATTTACTTACCCGAACCTTAATTATTACAGAATTTACGTTATTTCATCTCGGGGATAAGGAAAAACTTTTGTGATTTTAGAAATGGATTATCAGAATTTTTTTTTTTACCTGACCATTGATGGATTAACTGTCAAATGATGATCTCTACACCTGGATTAGGATTAGCCTCACCTATACCTACAAGATTTACAATAATTATGGAATAGTGTGTTTTGGATAAATTCTTTTTGTGCTTCCAAAAGATGGATTAATTGTAGTGTGTTTGGGAAGATGACTTGAGAAATCAACGTAAAGTAAATCACCAGGCATGAATCATCCACCAAATTGTAAGAAGTGTCACTCACGACAACGAAGCGGAAGTCGGATACGTCGAATATCGAATATTATGCCGTCTCCGATACAAGAGGCTATCAATAGTTACATGCTGCCCTTTCCACCGGAGAAAATAGCACAGGTATGCAAATATTACATGGTGCATGATAAATGAGATTTTTAGCATGTTGTTAAAATGTGCCATATTTTGTGCCAAGTATCGAGTTTGTATGCTTGTTATTTCATGAATATCGAATATCATGCTGTCCCCTAGACAAGAGGCTATATAAACAGCACAGGTATGCAAATATTAAACATACATTATGCAAGAGCTAAATCTGCCTATTACAGGTCTTTCTTTAGGCCTGAAATGTTATCTAAATTATTAATTAGACATTAATTAACTTATCCAGACCATAATCAACTCCCGATGGCATTGCTAGCCTGCAATGTTTGTTGGATTAGGTTCTGATTTTCTGTTCGACTTCCATTCATAATTGTCCCCCGCCTTTCGAAGAAAGCAGGGGACTATTAAAATGTGTTCGTCCGTCTGTCTGTCCGTCCGTCTGTCTGTCCGTCACACTTTTTGGGACACAATAACTCTCTTCCTAATTGAGCTAGAATGTTCAAACTTGGTGTATGTGTTTATTAGGTCAATGCCTTAATGGAGTTCGAAGATGAGCATTTTCCGCTTAGGGTAAGCAGAGATAAGCAATTTGATTGGTTGATGCTTTGGGACACGATAACTCTCTTCCTAATTGGGCTAGAATGTTCAAACTAGGTGTATGTGTTGATTAGGCTAATGCCTTGATGGAGTTCGAAGATGAGCATTTTCCGCTTAGGGTAAGCAGAGATAAGCAATTTGATTGGTTGATGCTTTGGGACACGATAACTTTTAATTGAGCTAGAATGTTCAAACTTGGTGTATGTGTTTATTAGGTCAATGCCTTGATGGAGTTCGAAGATGAGCATTTTCCGCTTAGGGTAAGCAGAGATAAGCAATTTGATTGGTTGATACTTTGGGGCACGATAACTCTCTTCCTAATTGAGCTAGAATGTTCAAACTTGGTGTATGTGTTGATTAGGTCAATGCCTTGATGGAGTTCGAAGATGAGCATTTTCCGCTTAGGGTAAGCAGAGATAAGCAATTTGATTGGTTGATGCTTTGGGACACGATAACTTTAGTTCTAATTAAGTGAGATTGATGAAACTTGGTGTATAGTTTCATTACAGTAATACCTTGACTAAGTTTGATAATGAGCATTTTCTGCTCAGGGTGAGCAGAGCGATACGCAATTTGATTGGTCGAGACTTTGGAAAACAATAACTCTCCTACTTTGATTGTCCCCGCCTTTCGAAGAAAGCAGGGAACTATTAAAATGGGTTCGTCCGTCTGTCTGTTTGTCTGTCTGTCCGTTCCGCTTATTTGTGATAAATTTATATGTGTCCTCTAATTATTTTCCTATTTCGGCGGGGGACATCAGCCTCACTGTTGGCTTGTTTAATCATGAAATGGATAATCGAGACTATGGTTGTTTTATCGTACTGACTTTAGTAATGATGATCGAGACTAGGCCGAAAATTCAATCGCTAAAATCTTGGTTCCGAGTTGATCAATTTGACTGAAATTTTCAAAAAATTTACTTTACATTATCTAGTTTTTAACTATTATAGTGAGAACTGCCAGCTCTTTATCCAATCTCCCATAATGTATCTTTAATGTAGCATGTTGTTGAAGTGTACTGTATCTAGTTCCAAGGATTGTTGTTCTACTCAACATTTATCTTTCAATATCAGTAGCTAGAGAATGGCTTTCATCATGGTTATTAAAGCTTTTTAGCCAAGTTCAATAAATGCTTTCATTTATTTGATTTGAGTTAAGTCAGAAAAAAAAACAGAAATACATGCACAGAAGATTACACAGTATTAGACCTGTATGCGCTTGCTAGTTGTTATTGCCAACTGGTTTTTTATTGAGTTCAGATAGTTCATCTTTCAGGCATGCTAGCAGTTCGGTGTTTTATTATAAATGTATTGACGGATTAGAATTGAAGATGGCGGGATGGGGGTAGGTGGCCGGCCAACTGATTTAACGTGTGCATGTTAGATCGCAAGGTCTGTCATTGTGGTTTCAATTCCCTGCTTCCATGTGACAAGGAGTAAGGTCGCATGGCAAACCTTGTAGGTGTTTTCTGGGCCCTCCAGTTTCCTCCCACTTTTTTAAATAAAATTGAACCATATGTTACATGTAGTCCCAAAATGCTCTATTTTGTGTCTATTCATCTTCAATTTCCCATAGCTGGACCATGGTTTGACATTTACTCTATTCCTTGTCAACCCTACAGTGTAAGCCAGACTTGAAACATCCCAAAGGTTCGATCTAACTGGGTTGTGTTCAAACCTTGGACGTGCTAGATGCGAGTCCATGATCCTGTGTACAATCTATATTACGCTGCTGAGTTTTATAAATTAACTGAAGTTCTATACTAATACAAGTCATAAATTAACATATAGTTCTATTCTGATACAAGTTCTATTCTGATACAAGTTCTATTCTGATACAAGTTCTATTCTGATACAAGTCATAAATTAACATAAGTTCTGTTGTGAAACAAGTAATAAATTAACAGAAGTCCTATTCTGATACAAGTCATAAATTAACAAAGTCCTATTCTGATACAAGTCATAAATTAACAAAAGTTCTATTCTGATATGATTCATAAATTAACATAAGTTCTGTTTTGATACAAGTCATAAAATTGGGTAGATATATTTCCTGGTATTCCTATTTGTAGTTCCTGGTATATATGACATAAATAGAGCATGGCTATATATATTGTTAAATATTGTTTGAATCGTGATATACATGTATGGTGCAGTTTTTTCTTTAAACTGACAAAGTTTATTATCCTCTTCTGCTTATATTGTAGATGTTCGAGTATGTGTACTTAAATATATTAAAACTGTTGTTTGAAGATATCTGAATGGGTGTAAACAGTTATATATTTTGTTTAATTTAGATGATCTTAGAATCAAAATGAATTCCATACATGTATGTTAGCCAGGGGGAGACATTCATGGTTATGAAAGGGAGTTTAACCTTTTATTTTAAAAAATATCATTGCTTATTTATTTATATTAAAAACTGAAATGTACTATATTGCCTGGGACATTTTAGGTCAATTTGGTAAGTATGGCATGATGTTTATTTTAAAAGTTTTTTTAAGTGTCCATTTTAGAAGGTGTTAAAAGATAAATAACTACATATATATTGCAGATGGCCTACTGATTCTAAAACCTGTTTTCATTGTACACTTTTTTGTCAGTTACATGGAAACGGACCCATTACCTTGGCATTAGCCAGACTGTTTCCCCTGCGAAAACATGTGCGGAAACACTGCAAAAACGAGTACATGGAAACGGACCTAAGAGGGTGGGGTAAATTAACATAGAATAAATTATTGGCATATGTAACAGGTAGACCTTGTCATCTACCCTGCACACTACACCACTTACTCCCCACTCTCCTGACAGGGGGGAAACATAAAGATGTAGGATAACTTGGATAAGGCCTATATAGACTGATCATTTATTCTGTCATTCCTGGCCTCATGGCTTCTGCCTCCCACATGGCGATAATCATCGGTGGTCTGTTTATATCACTGGTCCAAATAAAATAGATATTAGTTTCTAGATCCTTCACATAAATAATTCATCAGCTTTTAATAGGAAAAAGGAAGTTTTATTACTTCAAATGTTTAAAGAGTTTTTAAAGAGTCAATATCACTTTCAAAAATAAAACAAAATGGTGTTAACCTGCCACTATTCTGCACTGACTGGTCTAATGAAGATGGGCAGGCAGTGTGCCATGAGGGAAATTTTGTCTGGACATCGGCAAACTGGCCTACTCTTATTTCGAATTCCAACTGCCAAGGGTGTGCATGGTACTTCAGTTTTTTGTCCCATCCAAACGACTATACAGTATCCCTTGACCGACCCTTTGTCTTCACCAATAATCATAAAGTGTATTCATGACATCACACTCTAAATATGTGGCTAATTTTGATACCAAAAGGGGGGTTAGATGGCCGAATGGTTAGCACGTGCGTGCTGTATCATAAAGCCTGTCATTGAGTCAACTGGCGTGGTTTCGAATCCCCGGTTGTACGTGACAAGGAGTAGGGTCGCTCGTCCAACCTCGTGGGTTTTCTCCGGGTCCCCTACACGCAAGCGAATTATTGAAATAAAATTAAACCATATGTTAGTCCCGAAATGACCTAGTTTGTGTCTACTGGACGTTAAACCCCATTCTTCTCTCTCTCTCCCTCTCTCTCTCTCTCTCTCTCTCTCTCTCTCTTTTTGATACCAAAAACATGTAACTTGAATATGATTATATGAGGCTTGTTTTCTGTGATTAGATATAAAGTTGGTTTCAGTCATGTTGTATATATATATATAAAACTAGCAGTAACTAGGAATAGGAATGTTTATAACCGTAAGGTAAATATTTACAATAAAAACATGGGATCAGGATGTTGAAGTTTACATTCTGTTTTAAACTTTACAATAATTATATTTTAACCTTCTTTCTTCACGTATACAGGTTTACGTTTTAACACAAGAAAAATACACAGGCCTTATATTCACTGATATACACACCTGATGTAGATTTGGGGGGAATGGGATATTGCCTACCAAAAGTGTCTGGGCATGCTGTGAACCTCCATGTGAGCTCAGGGCCCAATGTCTTGTTTAAAACGTTGTGAAATATTTATTATAATGTTGAGATGGTTGAATGTGGTTTTAACACAAGATAAATACTTCACTAATTCACTAAACTAATGTACAGAACAATAGCTAAAGTAGATTAGGAGAATAAAATACACATTTAGGGGAGGGGTGGGCAGGTGCATAGATTCTGTAAAATACATTAACATTATTCACAGAAGGGGAAGGGGGTGGATGGTCGAATGATTAGCGCGTGCGCGTTGTATCAAGGTCTGTCATTGAGTCAACTGCTGTGGTTTGGATTCCCTGGTTGTACGTGACAAGGAGTAGGGTCGCCTGTCCAACCTTGTGGGTTTTCTCCGGGTCCTCCAGTTTCATCCCAATGTTAAAGACCCCTACGCACAAGCGAATTAT